GTGGGCATCATCATCATCATATCGTACCCGGCCATAATAGGCTCGGTAGAATCGTACCCGGCCACGTGGAGCTCGGTAAAACCCAACTGATCAGTGGTTGCACAATAGGTGCCGTACCCGGCCAACTATAGCGTGGCTCGGTAGAGTAAAATAGATACATATATATAATGCATGCTCGACTCATGGAATCACATTCTAAACCTTTCGGAGTGACGTAAGGTCGGTATCCTCTGTACACGTTATTAGGACTAACTCTTCACTATGAACCTTATAAGAATCAGGAAGTACCAACAACATTGATAACATAAGAATAAGAGAAGCAACATTAACATCAATCGTTCCATAAGAGGGAAAACAATGTAAGTACTGCTAGCTTCTAAGAGTAGAGTATCTTGGAAGCTCGTTCATTACATTATGTACAATCGGAGTCGTGCAAAAGAAGGAAAGGGATAGCCTCACATACCTTGTATATACTGCCCCAATCTCAAGCTATGCAATTGTCAAAACTCCTTAGTCTACAATAAGAGAAACGATACTATCGTTATCATTTAAGCGTCATAACTATTATGTATCGACCACAACCTATTTTACGATGAAACGGACAGCACCTCCCCTATATATATGACCTCACACCATTCAAAACAGTCACCAAACAGCCCAAACAACATCAATAATAAACATATTGAGCCTCCCAAAATAGTCCACACACAGCCTAATCACTCCATACATACGACGACCACCGTAGTCGTGTCAAACAACCTGGAAATGTTACGAATAACTATCAGCCCATAACCCTACATATATATGGTGTTTCTCCACACCCTTCCTCCTCCAAAACTCCACAAGATAGTAGTAAAATACGCAGCCCAACAACAACGCAAAACAGTCCACAAAACAATAACATTACTACCAAGCCTTTCGATATATATCTCACAAGTTCTAGCTTCAATGGCTTAGCCGCAACTTGGATAATCTTAAATACATATAGAGTAAGAGGTTCCTTACCTTTATACAGAAAGAACAACTCCAATTTGACCTTAAATTTCCATGAAATATCCCTCCAATGCTGCCACAACAACAAAAAAGCGAAACTAGCGATCAATTAGTGTTTTTCGGCACTAGAATCACTTTAGAAGGCTTGAAATCACCTAGGATTGATATTAAGAACATGAGGGAGTATTTACAGAACATAAACCCTTTAAAACAACCTCCCACACGAGCTGGAACGACACAAAAATGAGCAACAACAAGAAGAACAAGAGACTTACTAGCGCCACGGAATTCCCGACACTTGATTTGTGTTGTTTGCCCTTTTTTTGGGTCTTGAATCTTGAGAGAACCTTGAGAGGATGTTCCTAGGGTTCTAAGGTCTGAAAATAGTGAAAAGAAATGACTTAAAACGGGTTGGAGTCATCCTATATAGGTCCAAATATCTTAAACCGACTTAGTGGGCCCCATAGAGAGGTGCTTGGCGCAGTCTCGCGAAAACGCGAATATCTCTCTACTCCGAGATCGTATCGATGAACGGTTTAATGCGTTGGAAACTAGACTCATAGATCTTTAATTTGGTTGGTAGATCACCCCGTAATTCCTTGTAAATTATGAGAAAAGATTAGAAACATTTGACCTAATGTTTAAGTAAAATTATGAACCTAAGTTGCGACAACTTTTGTCGACTTTTGTTTCATAACTCGTTTGACTTCAAGACTTATGATACGGATATTATATGATTAAAATACCTTAATAAATGACCTCTTGAGTGTATTAAGCACCGCTAGATTACCTGAAAATACGAGTTACAACATCCTTGATTCGTTTAACTTCTAATACTGGTTAATCACCCTTATACACTCTTGTATCACTTAAGACCAATAGGATTGACTTCTTATCATCTCAAAGATAATTCCTTCTTGGATTTATGTTAACTAATATATGGTATGAACTAACACATGTGGATATGGATTGTAACACTTGTAGATCCTCGTGTTTTCAAAGGCGTGATATCTGAATTCCTCCAACTCATGCAACTGTGTCAATCGAGTTTCTCCAGCCTCATCAAGGTTCATGTTCAATTGCTTTAGTGCCCACCAAGCTCGACGTTCTAGCTCAACAGGTAGGTGACAGGACTTCCCAAATACCAACTTATACGGTGACATACCAATAGGTGTTTTGAATGCAGTCCTATAGGCCCAGAGTGCATCGTCAAGCTTTTTCGCCCAATTAGTTCTTGTGGCGTTTACAGTTTTAGTGAGCACACTCTTGATCTCACGGTTTGAGACCTCTACCTGCCCACTTGTTTGAGGGTGATACGGGGTTTCCACCTTGTGGTGCACGTCATATTTAGCCAACAACTTCTCAAAGACACAATTGCAAAAGTGCGTGCCCCCGTCACTAATGATGGCTCTTGAAATCCCGAATCGGGTGAATATGTTCTTCTTTAAGAACCCCACCACCACTCTCGAATCATTGGTGGGGAATGCTGCAGCTTCCACCCATTTGGACATGTAATCTACCGTAACATGTATATACTTATTGCCGTAAAAACTGGCGAAGGGACCCATGAAATCAATTCCCCAAACATCGAACACCTCAACTTGCTGAATTGGATTCATGGGCATTTCATGTCTATGGGATATGTTTCCCGTTCTTTGGCATTCGTTGAATCCCTTTACCCATTGGTGAGCATCCTTAAAGATTGTTGGCCAGTAGAACCCAGCCTCTAACACCTTCGCTGCTGCCCGAACTCCTCCAAAATGTCCTCCATAAGGTGATGCGTGCAAGCCTGCAAAATAGAACATTGTTCTATCTCGGGGACGCATCTCCGGATCATGTTATCAATGAAAATTTGAAACAAATGTGGTTCATCCTAGTAGTAGTTTTGGCATTCACGATAAAATCGTTTCTTTTGAACATAGGAGAGTTCATATGGCTCAATGCCGCATGCCAAATAGTTTGCAATATCAGCATACCATGGCACATCTTCCACACTTGTGGCTAGCAGCTGCTCGTCTGGAAAGTTTTCCAGAATATCCTCAGACTCAGTTGCATTTTTAGCACCTTCAAGGCATGACAAATTATCAGTGACTTGGTTCTCCGTGCCCTTACTGTCACGAATCTCCAAGTCAAACTCTTGTAGAAGCAGCACCCAACGAATTAGGCGCGGCTTGGACTCTTTTTTATCAACTAAATACCGAATGGTTGCGTGATCTGTGTACACGATCAACTTCGACCCGATCAAGTAAGACCTGAACTTATCAAAGGGGAACACAGCAGCCAACATTTCTTTTTCAGTTACCGTGTAATTCAGCTAAGCACCATTCAACGGCCTACTTGCATAGTAAATAGGGTGAATTACCTTATCATTGCGCTGTCCCAGCACGGCTCCCACAGCATAGTCACTAGCATCACACATGAGTTCAAACGGTTGCTCCCAGTCGGGAGCAACTATAATCGGTGTTATGACTAGCCGCTTCTTTAGTTTCACAAAAGCTACCCTACAATCATCAGAAAACACAAATGGGTTATCTTTTTTGAGCAACTTACAGAGGGGATTGGTGATCTTGAAAAAATCCTTGATGAATCGCCGGTAGAAGTCGGCGTGTCCCAGGAAGCTACGAATAGCCTTGACTGATGTGGGAGGTGGAAGTTTTTCTATCACATCGACTTTGGCTATGTCCACCTCAATCCCTTTACTCGACACTAAGTACCCCAAGACGATTCCTTCTTGTACCATGAAATGACACTTCTCCCAATTCAACACTAGATTCGTCTTGATGCACCTCTTCAGTACACGGGTTAAATTTGCTAGGCATTCATCGAACGAATTTCCCACCACTGAGAAATCGTCCATGAAGACCTCCATAATGTCTTCCATCATGTCTGTGAAAATAGCCATCATGCACCGTTGGAATGTTGCAGGTGCATTGCAAAGACCAAATGGTATTCTTCTGAAGGCAAACACTCCGTAAGGGCAAGTAAATGAAGTCTTTTCCCTATCCTCCAGGGCAATAGAAATCTGTTTGTACCCCGAGTATCCATCTAGGAAACAGAAGTGTGACCTCCCTGCCAATCTATCTAACATCTGATCAATGAAAGGAATAGGGAAGTGGTCCTTCCGGGTGGCTAGATTTAGCTTTCTATAATCCATGCAAATTCTCCAGCCTGTGACGGTTCTTGTAGAGATCAATTCATTGTTATCATTTTTAGCTACTGTCATTCCACCCTTTTTAGTTACACATTGAACTGGGTTAACCCAACTACTATCAGAAATTGGGAAAATGATTCTCGCATCTAACCACTTGATCACTTCTTTCTTCACCACCTCCTTCATATTGGGGTTCAGCCTTCTTTGGTATTCCCTGGAAGGTTTGTGTCCCTCTTCCAGTAGAATTTTGTGCATACAGTATGCAGGGATGATCCCTTTTATGTCTGACATGGTCCACCCAATGGCAGTCTTGCATTCCTTAAGTACCTGCAAGAGTTGTTAAGCCTGCACATCTAAAAACTAGATGAGATAATAACAGGTAATGTGGAGTCAGGTCCAAGAAACTCATACCTGAGATGGGCTGGAAATGGCTTTAACTCTAGCTTTGGTAGTTCTCCGATTGATGGCTTGGCTGGAGGAGTTTCTCTGTTTTCTAAGTGTAAGGTCTCAAATTCAAGAGTTCTATCCCAGAACCCTCTACCCTCTAATGCCATCACCCATCCAGCCAGTTCTTCTCCCTTTACCTCATCTAAATTCATTAAACACGTAGGGAGGGGGTCTTCAATAGTCAGCAGTTCGTCATCGGTCTCTATGATTACATCAACGACATCAATAAGAGAGCAATTGGCGAATTCACTTGGTCACCTCATAGATTTCTGCACGCTGAATGTTATCTCTTCATCGTTCAACCTCATCTTTAACTCCCCAGTTTCACAATCAATTAAAGCTCTACCCGTGGAGAGGAATGGTCTTCCCAAAATTATGGGAATCTCTTCATCCACTTTACAGTCTAAGATTAAAAATCTACAGGGAACACAAATTTCCCTACCTGAATTAACACATCATCCAGAATACTAGAGGGTCGCTTTACCGTCCTATCAGCCAGTGGCAACAACATAGAGGTGGGTCTAGCTCTTCCAATACCCAGCCTCTTATAAATTGCCATGGGCATAAGATTAATGTTGGCCCCTAGATCACACAGTGCTTTAGCAAAGGCAAAATCACCAATAGTGCATGGGATTGTAAAGCTCCTTGGGTCAGACAGTTTTTCCGCAATTGGTCTAGTCACCACTGCACTACAGGTCTGAATACGAGTAATTGTGGTCAAGTCTTGGAAATCAAATTTTCGGGACATTAAGTCCTTCATCATTTTTGCATACCCAGGCATCTCTTTCAAAGCATCAATTAAGGGAATATTTACTTGGATTTGTTTTAGCATCTCCAAGAACTTCTTGTATTGCTCCTCTTTTTGGTACTTAGCTAGCCTTTGAGGGAAGGGTGCAGGAGGTATCTTCTTCCCAATCATTTGGGATCGATCTTTATCAGCTGTCACATCAACCACTGGTTCCTGTGCTATCTCATCTTCTTTCTCGGTCTCCATTTGAATGCTACTTTCTTCCTGGGCAGGCTGGACTGTCACCTCTATCGGTTTCGTTGATTCATCCAACTCAATGGGCACTGATATGAGTGTCTCATCCTCCCTGGCTTCTCGAGCCCTTTCTTGCTCGACATCCAAATCTCTGTCATTACGTAGGCTTACCGCCATCAGCTACTTTGGGACTTGATCTTTTGGATTTACTTGGGTATCTGCAGGTAGTGTTCCATGAGGGCGATTGTTCAGAGACATCAAAATTTGGCTCCATCTATATTTCAATATTTTTGATCACTGAATCATGTGCATCTACTCTCTCACTAATCTTTGCATTAGACCTAATAACCTGTTGCATCATTGCTTCAAGTCTAGCAAACCCATCTTCCTGCCTTCCACTATACTACTGCTGAGGAGGGTGATACCCCTGCTGTTGATTCTGAGTACTGTATCCCTGTGGCCTTGGGTAAGGTGCTATATTGTTGGGGGGTCTCATACCTCCCATATTCCCACAGTTGAACTGTGATTGGGATGGCCTGTACTGTTGATTTTGCTGGCCCCAATTCTGACTACCCTGTCTCTGGCCCCCATAATTAGTCATATAGTTCATATCTTCAGGGTAATGCTGATGATCGTGTTCTGCTTTCCACTGGTTACCAATTGGCTGACTAATGCAAGATGTGCACAAGCCCTCATTAGTAGTATCTACAATATGTACCTGCTGTTTTTGCCCTGACTCTTCCACCTTTTTGGTGAGTATGCTCATCTGTGTCAATAAGGTGGTCATATTTTCAGCCATTGAATTGGATGGATCTAAAGACACTGAGTGCACCACTGGAGTGATTGGTGCATTTCTGGTTATCCATCCCAAATTCTGTGCCATCTTGTCAAGAAGACCCTAACATTCTCTCAATATTTTACTCAAAAATGCTCCACCAGCTGAAGCATCAACAGTGTTCTTCACGCTATCTGACAACCCTATGTAGAACCGCGGTCCCAACATCAAATTTGGAATGCCATGGTGTGGACATATGACCAACATCCCTTTAAAACGCTCTCATGTTTCATGCAATGTTTCCATTGGTCTCTGTTTAAAACTAAAAATGGCATCAATCTGTTACGCGGTTTTGTTGGGGGTGGAACTTGTTCACGAATTGCTTGACTAACTCCTCCCAAGTTGTTATGGAATTTATGGGGAGTGAGTTTAACCAGGTCTGGGCAGCTCCTGTCACTGAAAATGGGAACAATAGCAACTTGATTGCTTTCGGAGTTACATTTGGCTGTCTTTGAGTTTTACAGATTGACAGAAAAATTTTCAAGTGTTGTTGAGGATCTTCGACTTGTGACCCCGAAAATAGTCTCTTGTTTTGCAACAAATGCACATGTTATTCATAATTTGGAATGATTCAGCTTGTATCTGCAGGACTAAAATCGAGGTGGCCAGATTTATAGTTGTGGGTTGTGCCCAGTCATAGAGAGCCGCCTCAGGCACAACAGGTGTCATTGGTGCTATCGGTACAGCTGGGTATTCTTCGTGATCTCCCATTGTTGTTTCTAATGGTTCAGTTATTTATTGTTATTTGTTTTTCCGGTTGGCCCGGTTCAAGGCCTTAAAAACTTTCTCGGGATCTGATAATGCTTCAAATACTTCATAGTTCTCGATGAGTTTCTAGGCATGCACCTATGCAACCAAGTCGAAAAACGTTAAAAATTTCAATGTGAAGATTGGGTATAGAGAAAACTAACTATATTAAGAATTTTTGTACTTCTTTCAATCGTAATTGATAATACCGTTAATTCCCCAGCAACGGCGTCAAAATTTTATCACGCTCAACTGTGTCTATTAAAAGACTAAGCGCGCGTTGCAAATATAATCCAGGGTATTATGCCCCGAGTTGAATCCCACAGGGAATTAACGTATCAAGAGAAGCCTTTAAAGTACTAAATTCTTATGAGTCAACCTTCTCAAACTTTGTAAATAATAATTGGTGTTATGGTCACTACTGCAGCTAACAGAATCAATAAAATGAAGATTAACTAACACAGAGTTGTAGACAATTGGAATAAAGGTCTAAGGTAATGGTTTCCCCCGTTGTTGAATTCCTTAGTTGTATGTTTCTTATAGCTTCGATTTAGTTTCCTCTATCGATCATGAACTCTCCAGCTATCATAACTCTCTCTCAAGTAATTATGATAATTTACTAGACGCACTCTCTCAAGCTACGCTAGCTAGATTCGCATTACAGCTCACTTAGATTGCATCTGAGGTATCGTTATCTCTACTCCAACCTCTAAACCCTCGGTTATGACTCTCGCCTATACTCCGGGAATGATGTTGTTCAAACAATTACCTAAATATGCACTCTTTCTCAAGCAGATACATAATAAATAGGAACGGCTAATTGAGGATCCTTTCAACTAACCAAAATCAAAACGTAGTTGAACAAATAGGGATTAACAACCAACTCAAACTATATTAATATAACAACAAGTTCATCCACAACGGGTTCACCCAAAACCTTAGATTAAAAGAGTTAGCTACTCATAACAATGATAAAAACTACAAAGGAATTCATAGTAATTGATAAAAGAACAAACTAGGGAGATAAAAATTGTTGCCCAAATTGCCTCCTTGCTCCTTGCCCTTTCTTGTCTTCTTCTCAACCCTAAAAACTGATTCTTCCCTTCTTTTGGACGCATTAAATCGTTTATAGTTCGTGTGGTTTTTTTGCTTTGGACTTCCTAATTTTTCCTTGCACATTTCTTTCCCGCTTCTGGACTAGCGCGGGCACACTAAGGCCTGCGCTAGTGAGGTTACGTCTGTTTCTGATGACTGGGCTAGCACGGGCGCGCTAAGGCCCGCGCTAGTGAGGTTATAGTCTGCCATGTCAAGCTTCATTCCTTGAATTCATCCACTAGTTCCAATTTTTGCCCGGATCACCATCTTAAGTCTTCATTTGGGTATTGCACTCCTGTGAAACACAGAGTCACCATTAGAGCCAACATTTGCATTATTTACACACTTAAAACAGTAAATCATCCTTTAGTTAGAGTCCGAACTTATGCCAAACTATACAAGTTAGCCTATTATCAAGAGTACACGAAAAGAAAGTACAAAGCAATAACGAAGTACTAGAAGAGATCACAATCCAACAGTTTCCATTATCTCGACCAATCTTTTCCTAAGAGCAAAAACCAATAAACCACAATATTCACCCTATAACTTTTGTAGCGGGAAGAATATACTCTGATATCAAGTCAATTGCACGGCAACACCCTTCGTGCATTTATCTCATCCTCACAAAATATGCGTAAAATAGTATCAACCGGATGACAGGAATGCCAATAACAATAATGGCAAAGTAGATAATACGCAAGTAACAATGATGAACAAGGATGTACATAAGGGCTAAGTAACAAACTAGGCGGAAAGATAGGGATAATGACAACAATTAGGAAAAGGAATATAACCTCAACTAACTAGCATGGTTGAGGCATAAATATAGATATGATAAATAAGAGGGGAACACATGTTCTTTATAAGTTAACAAGTAGAAGCATGAATGACTATCATGGTAGAAGGCTTGTACTAAGTGCAACAAAATAAATACGACAATGATGTAATTATGACAGCAGGAGATATGCATGGTATTTGCAAGTTTAGCAAGTAGAAGGCATGAGCGACATAATAACAAATAAGATAGAGAACAAGGACAGCGCATTAATGACAAGTCACATAAGAACCATAAATACGACAATAACAGCTTGATGTAAAGGCATGAAAGTATACACAAGGAAAGGATATCACAATATAATGCATGTCCCTCACCCTAACCTGCACGAAAACACCCATCATGACATAAACTCATGATAATTTGAAGCATTATAACATAAATGAAATGGCACGGTATAACCCTTCGTACTTTAGATTCACATTACATGACACGACATCACCCTCGTGCTTTTACTCACAAATGATATGGCACGACATCACCTTTCATGCTTTCACTCTCAATCGATATGGCATGACATTACCCTTCATGCTTTTACTTTAAATAATATAGTACGGTATCACCCTTCGTGCTTTTACTCTTAAATAATATGGCACGGCATCACCCTTCATGTTTTACACTCTCCCTCACATGATAATGTATATAAAATGGCACTGTATCACCATTTATGTTTTTACTCTCAATAATATGGCACGACATCACCCTTCGTGCTTTTACTCTCAAATAATATAGCACGGCATCACCCTTCGCGCTTTACGCTCTCCCTTATATGATAATGTATATACAATGGTATGACATCACTCTTCGTGCTTTACACTCTTCCATACCAAGCATATGTATATCAATGACAAACAAGGTAGGAAGCACAAATAACGTTGAGGAGAGTGTCTAAATGAATATTTCAAATGAATCCCAGTTACAACTTCCCAAGTCAACAATCGTTCAATAAGTCCACAAGAAACTTATTATTCAAGTATTTCAAAAAATCTCACGAATGATCTACAATACAAGTATAGAATCTAGTATCTCAAGAATATCGGCCATAGCGATGTACTAATAATTACGCATAGTGATGACCGAACTACATACATCAATGTATTCTCAGAATTTCATTAAATTTGGTCAAGTTATAATAAGCTAAGTCTTGGGTTTTAACATTTAATACTATGTTCTTAGTATCTAGGAGTGAAGTAAGGCATGAAGCAAGAAGGTCACGTGATTCTACAAGACATATTTTTATGACATAATTTACCCCCGAGCATGGTTAACCCTAGTATATACATATATGCTCATCACCTTATATATGTATCACCCCCGCATGTAGCAAACAATGTCAAATAGTAGGAAAAATTCCCTTAACAAAGTTACGCAAGATACTTACCTTAATTTGGCTAACTCAATACTCAATTTAGCTTTTTCTTTACAAATCCACCTCCTCGCGGCTCAGTCTAGCCAAAGACAACTTAAATACATCACACAATGCAAGGGAAACCAATTTCAATTAATAAAGCTGTGATTTTAATACAATTTCTAAAAAGTCAAACCCCGGGCCCGCGCAGTCGAAACCCGGATCCTAGGGTAGATCTTGACTACCCATAGCCTCACGATTCCAAATACATATTTTATTTTCAAATCCTAGTCCAATTCGACTCTCAAATCCTAAAT